ACGAATCTTTTTCATCCTTTCGCTTAAAAGTTACAAATTAGTGCAGGTAGAGACTCATACACATAATTCACAAGAGTAAATATGTATTCAGAAACCTCCAATTTGCAAGAAAGTATGCATGATGCACATAAATCGTAATTAAGTTTCGTTTTTTTTTATTATGCTTGATGATGTTATACTCCGTAATGTGTACATCATAAGGGATGATAATTGAAAAGAAATGAAGATATCCAAGTTAGAAGGAACATCATTAGTACGAAGCAGTTTTTACTTAAGCATTTATATAATTTTCATAAATGTTTATACGTGCTGATAAGAATATCAAGACAAAAGTTAATGACAAGCAATTATACTTATCATAAAGATAAAGAAGGGATGAAAAAGAGATGAATTAAACTAGTAAACAGAACAACAAACAGAAAACGAGAGAAAAGAAAAGAAATGAATGTAATATATTGTATCTACTGTTTACTTTCTATTAGTTCGTCTTAGTAAAACGACATAGGTAATCTAGGACAGGCAATTCATGCTGAACTATGAATAATTCAATACGATGGCTATGAACAAATGACCTTGAAGATCGTTTTATCTTCTGGATATCAAAGTGAGAAGGGTGCAGGTGTAGATGATGCAGCTATCCTGGCTTAGCCTGCTTCTACATTTACATCCCCTATCACTCGCATGCACACCCTAAACGATACTTCCACTCACACGCATAGTACTTGAATTTCGATAAACAATGCTCAACCTCAAGAACTTTGTGTATGAATTAGCTTTCAAAAAGTTGAATATTTCATCTATTTAGAATCGTAACACCTCTACACTCTAACAATTATATCTGTATGTGCAAGTTATTTGTGAATAAAATATTGTATAATTACGAATGGAATCCTTGTTTCTGTTCTGCATATTAGAAAGCAGAACATGCCTGCAACTAAGTTATACTTACAATAACAAATATTTACATCATGTGTCATCGAACGAACAAACGAGAATTTCATATAGAAATTAATGACGAGTGAGTAATAGAGATTAAAACACATAAGAAAATGCCGATTTAAATTTAATTCGACTCAGTCGCACCTGAAAAATGCTTCATTCAGTTCAAATCCGTAGTACTGTTACTTGTATTCGATTGAGTTTTGATCACTGGTTCGTAAGGATAGAGAATCCAGGGAAACTTTCATCATTGAAGAAGAGCAAAATACTTGATAGCATTCTTCTAGAATTCAAATAACCTTGCATTATTCGTTTTATGAATAAAATATCCACTTGAACTGCTGAAAATATTTGTGAATCTTCTTCTTAAGAATCCTATTAGCATTTTTATCTTCAATCATAATTACATACTCCAATCGATTTAAATTTCATCCCTTTACTCAACCATTGATATATACAAATAATCTGGATCAATCATGCTAGGCGGCAAGCATATTTCGTATATAGAAAAACCATGACTTTTAAAACTTCTCACAAGGGTTCATGAAGTGTTGAACCGTATGAAACAATAAAAAGTTTCTTTAAATGATCTTCTCTTGACTGTTTATGTTTAGCTGTCAATAATAATCGATTATACAGTAACACAACCCTTGCTCCATTGACAGATGCTTCTAAGATGTGTGCTTCCGGGATAGTTTAGAATACTGATACCAGTTTCAGTGACAATCGCGGTATGGAGATGCGAGTGTGGGAAGAAGCTGTCTGGAGAGTATGTGTTACGGGCGAATCTGTCATAAAATTCGATTGCACACATAAGAGAATAATTTATCTTATAATTTTGTCACTTCATCCAAATTATGAATAGGGGTGGGTGGTATAATTGAAGACAGTCATACAGTCAACCCATATCCACACCCACACTCACACGCTTTTGTCCCGATGACATGAAACAATTGGCTGAACTGATGAAACAGAAACTAAATCATCCTTCAATACTACAACTTCAGGATATTTTTCAATATATATTTAGAGAACTCTAAGATTATAAACTTGAACCTGCACTGGCATTTTTACAGTTGCAAGAATTCGACTTCGAATCTCATTACAATCGTGCTTATCCTCATGCTAACATAGGGATAAGATGTGGTCATCCGTATTATTTTCCAGAAGGATGGCATCGTCATGCACTTCAAGTTGTCAATAAATATCCAGGTGATCAAGTTTGGTTGGGAATGAACAATTCTCGAGGTGAATGGGCTGTAGCTTATCATGGGACAAAGTCGGTTGTAGTAAGAGGTATTACAGATAAAGGATTGCTACGGACGTGAAGGCAGATGAGGCAAAACGGCTAAATCCATCGATTTCAGATATTAAAGGATTATACGTGGCAACACATTGTGAAGAAGGGGCTTCACAACATAGCCTACCGTTTACAGTAAAAGATTCCATTGGCAAAACGAAAACCTATCAGGTCATGTTTCAATGTCGAGTTCAACCTGGGAAATCCACATAACATAAGGAACCAGGACGCATTGTAATGGTGTGGTGAGTATTTGATGAGAAAGCAAAAAGGCCATATGGACTACTGTTAAAAAGTTCATAAACAACAACTCTACTCATTACTAGCGTTTCAGAAATTCCACACTTCATAATTTTTAATATTTTATATATTGAAAAACAAATAAATCCAACAAAAAAAACGAAACTGAACGATGATGTACTTAGGGCATATCTAAAGTAGTAAGAGTAATACTTAGTATCTAAGAGTAGACTGATATCATAATAATAAAATTTCGATAAGACTTTTAGTGAGTATTTTTTGAGTAAGTTTTAATAGAAATAAGATAGAGATGTGCGCTTTTCATCGTTGAAAAAAGAAGATAAAAACACAAAATCCTATACTGTAGATATTTCTCATATTGAGTTCTGAACTATTTTTAGTCAATTTTCTACCAGTCGGAAAAACGCTGGTTTTTTTGAAAAAAAAAACAAAAAATTTTGCTACAAAATTATATCACGGGCTCGGCTGGAATACATAATATTCCTATCAGCCATCCCCACTTTGTAAATCTTTGATTACTGATTTGAATTTATACGTACTAATTGAAAATACACTGTCAACAACTTACTAGATAAGCTTGCTCTTAAAACGATCAATTGAAAACCTTACAAATAACGGATCAAGAAATCTGGAACATATAATGCAATGAGTCTTCATCTCCTCTTTCCAACGGGGAAAATTACAGTTGTCTATCTGATTTCTATCAAACTATATAGAGAGAAAGTTTCTTTGAGTCTACTTGATGATATGAATGTGTCACTCTCACTACTTTTGTTATATCTCCTAAGTAGTTGTAATCGCTCAAGTTTTCGTGCTCGCAACATTTGTTTGCTTCTTATAGCAAGAATATTCATTATAAAAATCTTTTAGAAGGAAGTGCAGTTATTGATCGTGTCTGTACTAAGATGAAACGAAACATTGGTAATGAAGCTCACTAGGTTGAGATAATCTGACAATCATTTTATATTCATCAATAGAACGTTGTACATGAATTGCTTTCGTGATGAAAGAAAATGCGCATTTTACTCCTTAATAGTTTTACTTTGTGTTGACAATAGAGTTCTGCTTCTTATTGTTGCTTTGTTACACATACATCCCCTTTCACAATAATGTCAACATAAAAGCAATTCAAAACGGCAGAACAGTATTGTTAAAGGTAGTGAAAAGTGAATTCTTACTTGAGACGATATAAAAGAAGCACGTGTTACAAGAGGTCTCCTTTATTCAGACCAAATCATCATAGTCGGGCAACATTAATAATTAGTGTAGAATGGCACAGAAAAATTACAAAATCAATACCACTACGACAAAGAAAGCAAATAATGCAGTAAAATCGGATGCTATCTCCATAAACAAGACAAAAAAAGTACAGAATCTCTCGCAAGGTAACACTACAGCTTCGAATCAATCCTGTAAAGAAAAACAGTCCACAAGCAAGAACATCTCATCAAGCCATTCATTAACTCGTTCAATTGAAAATTTCATTGTTATCTGGTTAGATTCGAACATCAACGAAAACAATAATGACTACCAAAAATCTATTACCAGTCTACGACACATTGTTAATACGATAAAAATATTCACTAATATCAATTTATGTATGGATTTTCTGATTCAAGTTAAAGATGAAATAGTATTTATGATCGTATCAGGTAGTTTTGCTCAAACAATCGTGCCACACATTCAATGCATGCCTAAAGTCGAATCGATCTATGTGTTTTGTGCCAATAAATCCAAGCATGAACTGTGGACAAAGGAATGGAGCAAAGTGAAAGGAGTCTTCACTGAGATTGAATCCATTTGCCATTCGCTCAAAAAAGATACTGAACAATGTGACAGCAATTTAATACCGATCAGTATCTTCACTACAACCAATTCGTCGAACAAGGACTTGAATGAGCTCGATCAATCATTCATGTATTCGCAACTTCTCAAAGAGATTATCCTCGAACTAAAGTATGAGATCAATCCAAAAAAGGAACTGGTCAATTTTTGCCGAATTCAGTATCGTGGTAATTCTAGTGAATTAAAGATTGTCGACGAATTCGAAGAACACTATGAAGATCATTCGCCTATCTGGTGGTATACTCGCGAATGTTTCACTTATTCTATGTTGAACAAAGCACTTCGCACTCAAGACATTGGAATTATTATTAAAATGGGGTTTTTCATACGCGATCTACATGTACAAATCGAACAAATTTATTCGACGTGCAATAAACAGTGTTTGTTGACGGTTTACCGTGGTCAAGGGATGTTACATGATGAATTCGAAAAGATTAGAAAGAGTAAAGGCAGTCTACTTTCTTTCAACAATTTCTTATCGACAAGCACTGATCGACATGTCTCTCTACAATTTGCTAAAATGGCACAATACAATTCAACTTTGACGGCGATTCTTTTTCGAATAGAAATCAATCCTACGCTTACTTCGACTCATTTTGCTCAGTTAAACAATATTAGTTATTATGCAGACTCAGAAAAAGAGTTACTCTTCTCTATGCATACCGTGTTTCGCATAGGTGACATTGAACAGGTGGAAAACGGACTGTGGCAAATAACATTGGCATCGACTGATAATAATGATCAACAATTGAAGCTTCTCACCGAACGCTTAAGAACAGAGATCGGATCGGGAACAGGATGGCATCGATTGAGTCAATTAATGATCAAGATGGGCGAGTTCAATAAGGCCGAAGAAGTCTCCCAAGCATTACTCGATGGAGCATCTGACGACGATGCGCGAACAAAGGCTGTTTGTCATCATCAACTTGGATATGTTAATGACGAAAAGGGCGATCTAACAAAATCTCTTTTTCATTATAGACAATCTCTCGACATTAGTCTGACCTATCTATCTCCCGATGATCCTTCGCTTGCTTCGACTTATTCAAATATTGGAAGTATATACAAAAAACAGAATGATCTTAACGCAGCTCTCGAATGTTTTCAGCGAGCGCTAAACATCGATCTTCATGTCTCTAAACCTGATAAGCTTCAGATCGCTACTCATTACAATAACATTGGTCTTGTGCTTAAACAACAAGATAAATATGATGAAGCACTAAAAAATTATGAGCGTGCACTAGAAATCAAACTCGCTCATCTTCCACCACGTCATCCATCATTGGCTACTGCTTACAGCAATATCAGCGGGATTTATCAATCAAGAAAAGACTATTCAAAAGCGCTCTCATTTCTTGAGAAGACCCTTGAAATCAAACAGAAATCGCTTCCACCGAATCATCCATCGTTAATCGCGACTCATCGCAACATAGCAACAGCATTGGATGGTCTCCATCGATCTGAGGAAGCTGTTCAACATGCGCAGCATGCAGTTGACATTGCACGGCGTGCATTTGGAACTGATCATTCGGAAGTAAAAGACAATCAAAAATACCTTGATGAACTTCGTCAAAAACTCTGATCAATATCATATTGAACACTGTCTACTTGCTATATTTGATTATTTTTGCCGGATTTGCTCTAATTACTAACTACCATTTCTCAAATAGCTATCAATAGTGTTTAGTTATCAAAGTCGAGCTTTCGTCATTACATAGATCTATATGGAGACATTTATCTATGTATTATTCATTAAGTTCTAAGAAGTTTTCTAGAATATTCGCAAGTGAACAATTTTTCTGTTGCTCATTTCTACAAATTTTCGTAACAAACTATCTTCAAACTACACTAAAACGTAGTTCATTCTATTCTAACTGTGTCTGAAAAACTTTCTAGTATTTGATAAATATGATGTAGATAGATATTCTTCAATAGCTAAAAAGTATCGAAAGGTATTCGAAAAATGGTGTTTAATATTTTTTTTAAAGTTCTACAATATTACATAGTTAGTTCTTG